TTTTAGGGTAAGGATTTTAGAAAAAAGTATCGTCTTATAGTCAGAAAAATACGGTATATGGCATGTAGCTCTTCCATCAGGCAGCCCAGTGATGGAAAGAAGTGTCTTCTTTTTTTTTAAGCTTTTACATCAATACGTCTATATAGAACAAGGCATACAAAAACAGTTATTTAAGTAGAAGAGCTCCTTGGTTGATGAAGGAGAGGCACTAGATCTGCAGTTGTCTATTTATCACTCTTGGCTTGATATGACTGCTCTGGAAATCAGGACTTCAGCTTAATTTGCATAACCCATTGATTCATATTCATAGTTTATTTATTTATTTATTATTAAATTTGTATGCCACCCATCTCCCCCAATGGGTGACTCTGGGCAGCTCACAATTAAAAATCAAAAGCCTAGAAACAATTAAAATACCCCATAAATAATTAAATACTCAATCCATTAAAATCCACTATAAAAGTGATAGTGGATCACTTAAGTCTTCTCCTGTGTATTTTTCCTCTCTTATGAAGAAATAGAAAACCCTTCAATTTTTGGTTTTGTTTGTTTGTTTTGTACTTCACATGCACCCATGCTGAGGTGGGCTCCGTGGAACAAGCTGCACTTGTGAAACCAATTGCCATGTACCTGTTGCACCATTGCACAGGGATGTTCGCTGTGAGATGACACTTGATCGCAGTTTCAGTTTTAGGAAGCAGTTGTAGGACTATTTAAAGATATACAGATAAGAGCATGTTTCTGTGCAATTGGATTTGTGAAAATAATGTCTGTTTATTTTTTGACCTTTGAAATCTAAGAGCAGAGTTGCCCTGTGCTTTCTCCCAGCTTCCTTTTCCTCTTTTATCTATATTTTGTGGCTACCACAAAGCTTAATTATTCAAGCATTTACATTTGCAGGGAGGCTGCGTGGACTCAATAAACCAAAGCCTCATTCTGCTCTTTATGACCCTTGGACAGCAAGATGTTTCCAAAGTCCTCCTGGGACCATTATCACCTTACACGTAAGTTTTCTCACCCATACCCCACAATAATTATTCTTGCTCAATTTGTCAACTGCAGTGATGGGAAGATTTTTGGCTGTTATTTGGAATAGTTTGTTGTTGCGAAAAGAACTACTTATGCTGTTGTTTAGAACATTCCATGCAATGTGTTATTGTTGTTTATATGAAGGCTATCAAATACATTTCTTATCAAGTCACCATGAATCAAGCAAATGAAGCTTGCAGGGACAGATTGCATTTGCTCATATAGACACATGCCAACATGCATAATACATGGATGGTAACATGTTTCTTTGTAGGTGTCTGTTACCAGGAGTAACTCCCTGGATTATAGTTTTGATAGCAATGACACTGAGTAATGAGTATTTTGAAATAGCAGATGTTCGTGTCACAAGTTTCAGCATGTTCTTGTCAGTATTCAGAAGAAACTGAGATTCATTCAAGTGGATCCAAGAGCCAGTTTGGTGTAGTGGTTAAGGATACTGGACTACGGACAGGGAGACTGTGAGTTCTAGTCCTTTGTTAGGCATGGAAACCAGTTGAGTGATTTTGGGCAAGTCATTTCCTCTCAGCCCAACTTACCTCACAGGATTTTTGTTGAGGGGAAAATAGGCAGGCAGGAGCATTATGTATGTTGCCTTGAATTGTATAAAATAAAGGCAGGATATTAATTACATTAATATTGCAGTGTGACTATCTGTGTATGCATGTTTCTGTGTATGCATTTTTTTTTAAGTCTCTGATGCAAAGCCATTTGTAGAAAGGGAATTAGTAGAAAGTGGTGGGAGCATGAGGATTTGCACATGCTTTGTCAACTTGGACCTTGGGAAGGAAAATTGGGTTCTTTTCAGCTGGGGTTCTTTAATGGAATAGTATTAATGCAACAAGACTGTGAACTGTCCTTTTTCGGTTATCATGGTACCGGTGCTGTATGTACGAAAGGTACAGTACTGTGATAACTGAAGAATGATAGTGCCATCACAATGAGTTGGGTTATACTATGAAATTACTGATGAACACTGTTACCTGCTTTTGAGAGTCAAGTAGGAGATTTTGGGATAGGGTAAGGACAGGAAGAATATGTATGCCACGTTGATGGATTAGTACAGTCCATTAGTACTGTAGGAATGTTCAAACAGTTATACATGGTTTAATCATAAAACCCCTTTTCTATCTACAACGTCAGAAATGAAGGAAGCAAGCTAGCAAGTTGGTTAATTGATTGTGAGGATTCTGACACAAAGCACCAGATTCTTTCAACTTTTTCATTAAAGCTTCAATCCCCTTCAAGGGATCCTCCAGCACCAACATCAAATCATCCGCAAAGGCTCTCAACTTATATGTCTCTTTCTTGATTTTTATGCCCCTTATCTTCTCATCTCTCCTTATATCTCTACTCAAAACTTCCAAAACTAAAACAAGTAACAAGGGAGACAGTGGGCAACCTTGTCTCTTCCCCTTTTGTATCTCACATGATTTAATTTGTGCTTTCTGTGTTGTATAAATTGATTTCACTTCTTTCATAAAATTCTTTTCAAAGTCCATATCTTCCAAAACTTTAAACATAAAAGGCCAATTTAAATTGTCAAAAGTTTTCTCTGCAACCAAAAAAATTAACGCAACTTGTTTTTTCATTATGCTATTCCAAATATTCTATAATGTCCAACACCATTCTAACATTATCTTTTAATTGTCTTTTAGGTAAAAATCCACACTGATCTTCATAAATCAATTATTGTAATATAACTTTCAATCTGTCAGCTGAAATCATTGTGAATAGCTTATAGTTATTATTCAGTAATGATATTGGTGTATAATTTTTAGAGTCAATACTTGTTCTTCTTTAGGTAATAACGCTATATTGGCCTCCTTCCAAGACTCTGGCATTCCACCTTCCACCAGTATAAAGTTCATAAAAGATTGGAGCAGTTGTAGCATTTCATCCTCAAAGTTTTTATAGTATGATCTCAGAAGCCCATCTAGTCCTGGTGCTTTACTTGGTTTAATCTTTTTTATAGCTTCAGATACTTCAATTATTATTATAGGTCCATTCATAATCTGTCTTTGCTTGTCTGAAAGCTTTAGCAAATTTTGTTTTTTTAAGTAGTCATCTATTTTTTCCAGAGAGAAATCCTGTCTTTTATATAAATTAGAATAATACTGATGAATTTTTTTTTTTGTATAGTTTCATTGTCTGTTATTACAGTATCACCCTCTTGAAGTTTCATACTTATTTTTTTTTTTCCTTTCTCCTTTCTTAGTTTATATGCCAACCATCTCCCTGGCTTGTTTGCAAGTTCAGAATTTTTTTGTTTGGCATAGTTCATCTTTCTTTTCCAATTCTCTCACTGTTAACATGGATAGCTGTTGCTGTAGAAGTTTAATTCAGTTTGAAATACTTAATTTTCTACTGTTAACTTTAATTCATCCTCTTTCCTCTTTATCTCCTCCACAATAGCTTGCATTTTGTCTTGATTCCTCTATCCAATTGTGGGTATACCACTTCATTCCAGTCTCCCATCAGACACCAATTTTCAAAAGAAAAATGTGTCAATGTTTCCATAAGACATTTAATTTTTTTCCCTTTATCTTCATTTGGAGCATAAAGTCCCAAGATTAATGTTCTAATTCCCTGTAATTTGACTTCTACTCCAACAAATCTACCATGTTCATCAGCCAATACTAATTTTGGTTTTAATTGTGGGTTAACATATAAAACAACTCCATTAACTTTTTTTGGACCTGACAAAATAAATTTTTGTCCCAAATTCTTATAAATCAAGTATTTTATGTCCTTTTTTCTAATATGAGTTTCTTGTAAACAAATTATATCTTGTTTAAGTTTTTTTAAATGGTGAAACACTTCTCTTTTGTGTAGCATTTGCTCCATTAATATTCCACATTAGCCATTTGTTAGCCATTACTAACCACATTAGTAATCCATAATTAAGCTAGTAGTTTAGAAAAGTCTATGCCCATGGCAATCAACTCAGAGTTCTCTTTTTCATCTTCCTCCTGAACCTTTTTGGCTTTTGAGTTTGTCTGTTTCTCCTGCTCCATTTGCATCTCTTCCAGGTCTCCTTTAAATTTTTCCAGAAATTCTTTGGCTTTATGAACAGAATTCATAATGGTTAGCTGGGTGTAATTAAATACAGGAGAAAGTAAACTGGTAGTTAATGCCTTCTGGTGTCTTTCAAGCAGGAATTGCAGGCACGCATCAGAGGAAACATATAGAGATCAAGTTATAATCTTCTTCTGTTTTGGAAACCCAGCTAATTAACAAACAGTCCAGCAAAACAAGAAACTTTCCCATGAGAAAAGCAAACCTTGTTACTGCAAATAACGAGTTCCATAGAAAAATAAACTTCTAACAAATAAACTTTCCCTTTTCACCGTAGTCACTTTTAAGTCTTTTTTAAATTCTAGTTTTCATCCAGCTTTTTGCGAATTAATTAGATTCAAGTTAAAACTCTATTCTTCTTTTAAAAATATAGTCCCAAAAATAAGGATAAGCCCCAAGAGAATTATCTTTTGTGAAGGAAGGTCTCTCTTAAGTTGAAAAATAGTTATAATCTGCAGTGTTTAGATATGAGGTTTGGTCGGCTCTAGCATCCATAAAAGGGCTACACTGCAGCTGCAAACGAAGATGGATCCCCTGCCTCTCAGCTGCTCAACTTGAAAGCCATTCACACAGGCTTTTGTCTCTGCAATTAGCTTTCAAGGAGCAGCTGTCCAGAGGGCAAATGGGTTGTTTTCTTGCTTCCTCCTTGCTTGGAGCAAGCTGAGCAGCCAGCCACCAATCAGCTACAGCTCTGTTATTTCAAAGATGCCTAAGCCACCATTCATGTCCACCAGAAGTCTGTTTTGCTCAATGTTCTTGATAGAAATTATTCTCTTGCATATTTACTAAACATAAGTTCTTGAGGACAGTTTCAGAGTATATGCTACCAACCTTTCTCTCTGAGCTTACTCTTCCCTATCCCAAACTATTTGTCTTTTTATCATACAGTGGAACCTCGGTTTACGAACTTAATTCGTTCCGTGACTCTGA